TCAACTATATCTAAAACATTATGTGACGTGGAACATTCTCTTGTCAACTATATCTAAAACATTATGTGACGTGGAACATTCTCTTGTCAACTATATCTAAAACATTATGTGACGTGGAACATTCTCTTGTCAACTATGTCTAAAACATTATGTGACGTGGAACATTCTCTTGTCAACGATATCTAAAACATTATGTGATGAACAATTGTATGCGAGTCTTCATACAACTGCCAAACAATCAGGTCAGTTGGTATCAAACTGACATTTATCCTTAGGACACCCTAGGTGGTGATTTCAAATCTGATCTCCATATGTCACCCCCATTGACCACTACATCTTCTACACGAGTTGAGTGGGTGTCTCATCCAGTTATCACTAATGCAAGTGGTAGTATATATAAAGTATTCAATTGTCATAACCAGTTTTGATGGTCAACAAAAGCCAGGATAGAATAGGTTAATAAGTATCACAATTTGGACAAATATTGGGATTGGAAGGGTTTATAACATAAACAAGTCAATTTCTTCCTAACTTACTTTTTTCCTCCTTTTCCCCCAACTTTCAACATCCATGGTTGGTCATCTGGATTATATTTCTTTGAAATTATTCCATATTTCTTTCTTCTTGCTTCTTCCCTTTGGTCCCTACCAAATTCACTTCCTGCTCCATATTTAGGCATCTCCTCATCTGCTTTAAACTCCTTAATATTGTTTTCTCTTTCCATCTTGGCCTAGATCCAAATATTTTGATCAGATTTCAGACTTTTTTTTTGTTTTATATACAAAAAGAAAAAAGTAGCTTATCCATAGTTGAATTACAAGCATGCTGCAGCCAACTAGCAAGGACAAAATCAGGACTAACACGAGTAAAGGTTAGTGTCTACAAATTGTTGAAATAAGACTAGTATAAAATAAGATTACATAAACAAAACCTTGTTACACAACTCAAAACTAAAAGCCTGGATCTAGTAAAACTCTAAAAACAGCTGCATATCTATTAAACCAGTAGTTCCTAACTGTTAGTCTACAGACCTGTTTTGGTCACTTTGCAAAAAACATCCAAGAAAAATGAAAACAACACAGAATGAGCAAAAGATTAATTGTATAATAATGATAAATTTCTAAACAAATATTCTTATTATCAAAAATTCAAATCCTTATAAACACATATTTACAATCTGATGTACTTCATTTCTATAAATCATCTCCTGTATAGGCTAACTATATATACTTCTTATGATCTGCCTTTTTACTAAGATTTTGCTAACCTATGGGATGAAAATATTTTGTAAACAATGCAATCGTGAGTTCTAGTATTTTTGTGGATTACCAAAACATGCCTTTTAAAAAGACACAAGATTACTTTGGCAAGATAAAATGCATAAAAAGAACATCTTTGTAATAATTTTTTCACCAAAAAGGTTTCTTTTTGAAAACTCTTAGAAAAAATGATTGCAATAGAAACAAGAGTTGGTAGAAATAAAACTGAGCACTAAGAACAGAAATGTGTTTATGGGCATTAAGTGAGAAGTTAATTAATGAGTAAGAGCTTTACTTTTTTTTTTTACAAAAACTGAACATTGAGTATGAAATGTATTTATGTATAAAACTGAACAGTGAGTAAAAAAAAGTGTTTGAAAAAAAAAACCAAGCATTGAATAACAGGCGTACTGGGAAAGAACAATCACAAATCAGTGTGGTGAATTCTTTGAACAAAGTAGAGCTGGAGAGTTAACTATTATATGAGCATCAATTATTGTCATGTAAAACAATCAATTAATTAAAATTATGATTAGATCACTTAATGTCATGAAAATAATCAATTAATCAAAATGGATGTTTCAAATTATTCTAAATGTTCAAGTAACCAAAACATTACCATTATGATTTCTCATTATTTTATATTCATTCAAGGTTGCCCAGCTTAATTCTTTTTACATCAGCATGGTCAAATTGACCAACCATGTAACTTTGAAACTATGCATATTATAACTCTAAATGTACTATGGGAATCTTCATGAAATTTGGCAAGCTTTTAGTAAACATTAAAAGTTTGTTGTACACAAAAAACAAAATTAATAATGTATTTTTACTAAATATTTGTCTACGAACTTACAAAGCCCTTCATGGGTCAATCTGAGGAAAAGATGATTTCCATGTTTTCATATTTCATTTGCATAGCCTTCTAAATGAATATCAAAAGTTATTAAATAAATCTTTATATTTTATCTCTTACTTTCTCCACCCTAACACTAACTGTAGTGAAATCAAGATACAGTGAAAGAAAAGGTTGAAAGATATGAAATAAATCAGTAATTTAATTTTTTTTGTATAGAATGACTGCACATTGTAACAGACAATTCCAAGTTATTTACCCTAACACCTCAGCTTCTAACCTTTTCACATCTGCTTTCTTTTAATTTCATAGATTTATTGCTGTGATTTGGGATTACTGCACATCAAAAGCAAAATCATAGCTGGAGCCCATTAACTGTTTCCATAGGGCTAATGTAAACAGAGTATTAGGTTACACATACCGTAAATTCACATCCCCATCCACTGGACTTATGAAATTTTGTGCATGTTATCTTACAGATGTGTTGTTACCTACACTACGAAGTTTCTACTTTATACTATTTAGTTACTTTTACTGAAAAATACAGAACTATAAATAACAAATATATATAAAACTAGTACTGACACACAATACAGTTTTTGCACTTGAGTATCCTTTATCACCAAAAAAAATTAATTAACGTAGCTTTTAAATATACATTTTATAACAAAAAATATATCAGTAATTACAATAGAATGTTACAAAAATTTCTTTAAATGATCCAGTTTTCTAGGTATATTAACTTAACTAATGTCTTTTGCCATCAGAAGTAAACAAAGACATTGTAAGATTTACATGAAGGAGAATCTGTGATTTCTATTGGTGAGTTTGACAAATTTATTGTTATCTCAGAAATTAAAGTAAGTAAGAGTTTCAAAATATAGATTTTTGCTTGCACGAATATGTAGTACATACTTCCAATTATCTGGAAATTATTGAAACCTATTAATAATGTTAGAAGTTTCTGAAACTGAGAAATTGGAGCTCAGGCCCATCACGTGAAGCAGAAAAACGAAGATTGAACATTTTCTTAATATTTCTTTTTTTAAATTAACAAATAAAAACTTAGATAATATAAAAGTTTGAATTATGAACTATGTTTTGATGCCAAGTTTATTACTACACATTGACAATAAAATTGTATAATCAAATTCCATTAAAGTTTGACACGTGCAAATGAGTCAAGTCCAGATGCATAAGGTTGATAGATTAGTGTTTCTCATTATTCCAACTATCCAAGTTTCATGTCAGTTGAATATAACAGATTAAACAGCCCAATAATTATTCAATCAGTAAATTCCACTGATTACTCAGCTCTACCAGTGAGCACATATACTGTAAATTTATGGTGAATAACAACATACCCTAAATATTCAACCTGCCATACAGATTAAAAGTACAGAAGTTTTATCATGCTTATTTTTCTAAACTAAGTCCTGCCATACAGATTAAAAGTACAGAAGTTTTATCATGCTTATTTTTCTAAACTAAGTCCTGCCATACAGATTAAAAGTACAGAAGTTTTATCATGCTTATTTTTCTATACTAA